AAGTAAGTATACAGATAATTTCAATATGTATTTGGCTTAATGATATTAACAAAATTCATGAAAATTTTACCTGTTTGAATGTAATTATTTTATAATAAAATATTCTGTACACTATAACATGGAAAAAATTCACTTTTTGTTCCGAAAAATTGAAGTTTTTGGTAATTGATCTGAATATTATTTATAGGAGCATTTTTTCCTATTTAAGAACATCTGACTATTTAAACCCCCGGAGTTTTGGATCGGGTATTCAATAACATCCCTCGTTTGTTCATTATGATACATTAAAAGACGATATTTTAACTTTTAAATTAATTGTTTCTTTACAATAATTGCACTCCATTGCGGAACATTGCCGTTTTTAACATAGTATAGCGTTCATATTCGATATTTAATGGCGATTTCCTAAAATATATATCTTAAAATGCGATATAAATAATATTTGCACTAGTATCCATTAATTAAAACAAGTTTTTTTGTTCCAATCATCCATTACACACTCCTAAATACTACCAATAATCGTCAAATGGTGACCACGTCAATAACTTACACTACATATCGGTTCTGAAATTGATTATTGTCCAAAATAGTAAGATTTTTACATTAAATCAGGCTCAATTGGTGGTATGAATACGAATTGAACAATTTTGAACACGGATACATCTTAATTTGTTGCTAGAACAAATAAAATTTCCGATCCATAAAACATGGTTATTGTATCGACTATATCAAGATATGATTGGTAGCATTAAATCGGAGTATTTCGAAAACCTAAATTAAAGGAAAATTAAATTAAAGGAAATATATAGAATTATCCAAATTTTAAAGTTTATGTTATAAGTCTTAAGAAATCGGAGTTAAGTTTCGGTTTTTTAAGAACGTACTGTGTTCAAAATAGCCAAATCCATGCACATAACATTAATTTCGAAATAACAACTCTTTTCAAAAGTTAAAAATAATATTTCCAATGCATCATTTGGAGGGTTCAATGACCACCAGATCCAATATCCGGTGTCTAAAGTGTAAAAAAATAGTAGAAATGAGAAAAAACTGTTCTACTAATTAATTCAGGAGCCAATCGGCCCAAATTTCAAGATTTCGGAACTAAAAGTAGATGTTTTCCAAGTTATTGTGTAAAAAAATATTTTATTAAAAAGTAATTATATTAATACAAGTAAAATTTTTATAAATTTTGTTAATATCATTAAACCAAATATATACTGAAATGATCTGTATACTTACTTTTGTGACGTAAATTTTGCACCTTTTTAACTTCAGCTTAAATGAGAACTCAAAGAACCAAAATATGAATAAAAAAAGTAGTAAATAATAATTATCATAATTGTTTTTAATAAATAAATGTGTCACTTTTTTGTTTTTTGAAAAAATAATATCTTTTTTTTAAAAAAACCAATCGTCAGTATTTCTGTATACTTATTTTTGTGATTAACTGTATATATATATATATATATATATATATATATATATATATATAGTAGGGAGATCGATTACTCGACTTTTTTTAAAAACCTTTTTTCGGGATTATCGGAAAAATGGCATTTTAAAAAACCGGTTTTCGGTTTATCATTTTTTTCAAAACCGGTTAACCGGTTTCATTCAAAGGAAATAAAACAAATAAAATGTGAGTTTTTTTATTCAGAAAATAATGAAATAAAAATAATTCATTTTACATTTTTAGTTCTAAAATAATACATAACATAAAAATATGTAGATAGTATACATATAACTAAATATTTATAAAATAATTCACTATTAAAAAAGAGATCTTATTATGGCTGAGAATCAATTAAATATTTGTTAAATATTTACATTTTAGTTATTTCTCCTAAAATAATCTTTTAAAAACAGTATACAATTCAAATGTTTTGATGTATATCTATTTTTTTCTTTAGTTTTTATAAAACTTGATATTGAAAACGATCTTTCACTTAGGATGATTGTTGGACATATAGAGTATAAAGAATTAAGTAGTTTGTCAAGCCTCTCAGATCTTTTATGACACTTGTCTAAATAAAAAAAATCTTCCAAAATATTTTCTTTATGACTAGCTTTAGAAGAGTTATTTTTTGTTTGCATATTTTTAATTGCATTGTTTAATTCGTATTCCAAATTATGTTCAGAATCATTACTATTCTCAAGATCTTGATCTGAATCTGACTCAGTGTCATCTGTTACACTAAACAAACGATCATATAATTGGGTTGCGAATTCTTTTGTTTCAGTTTTGTTAGAATACTTAAAAAAGGAATCGCTAACCGGAAAGCTTCCTGTGCTTAAATACAATATTAAAGTATTCAAAATTTTATTACGTCGTTCTGTAATGCGCCGTTTTAAACAATCTAATAACTCATATGAAAAAGTATTATGCATTTTTGAAAATTTTGTAAACAAAAACTTAAAAATACCTTCAGCTTCAACTAGGGTTGTCGAATTTTTGGACAATTCATTAATGGCAACTTCTAAAGGTTTCAAAGTATTATTAAGTTCATTCAAGATTTTTATATCATTTTCAGTAAATGGAATAAGGCCCAGTTCTAAAAGTGCATGGTTTACACATTTATAAATTTTCAAAAATTGCGAAATCATTTTTAACATCGAATTCCATCTGTGTCTAACGTCATGAACTAGTTTAAGCTCTTTATTTTCTTGTTCTTTGACATATTTTTGCAGAATATTTTGTTTTTCGCTGGATTTGTTGAACATTTTCACATGATTTATTACATATGCAATATTTCCGTTTAATTCAGAATTTTCATCAATTTCATAAATAACCGTCTCTTCTAAATTTTGATCACCAAATACTGATTCATCAGAACTTGAATTTTCATTTACTGTTACTATGTTGCTAGTTTTCTTTTTATAAATTGTGTCCGCCACACAGAGATGAATAGCATGATTTATACAGAGCTGAGATTCAGCAGTTATATTGCGTCCATATTTTTGCATCACTGCCGCATCATCATGAGTTGATGCTACGATATCTGTTTTAATATTTAAGGAAAATTCATTAAGTTTATTTTTAATAACTTCTTCCAAATTATTTGCGGTAGGCTTCACTTTAATTTCTTCGAGTCCAAGATTATAAATTTCAAACGATTTTTTTTCTGGATTATAATTCATCAACCACTATTGAGAATCTTACATTGTTTTGTTTTTTTTTTCAATAATTTTGATTTTTAGTTCTTCTTGTTTTTCAATATAAAATTTATAAATTTTTTCCCAAATGGTAGATTCCGCAGGCATATTCAAATTTCTTGCATGTAAATATGCCAATACCACTTTGGATTTTCTCAATGCCTTCACCGATAAACCATCTGCGGCAACACATCGGCTAAGTATTTCGCCGATTGTTTCTGTTTTTGTTATGTACTTTTCCAGGGTGTTTTTTGGTGACTTAGAACAACTGGGAATGGAGTCCAGTTGTTCTTGAAGAGTTTTTATATCTATTTTATGTACATGCTTGATATGATTTAGGTGTCCAGACGTCGAAGATCCTTTACAGCATAATATTTTAGGACACCGAAGGCAACGAGCCTTGTCTTTTCCATCGTGTTCAAAAAATTTCCACACTTCTGAGGGCATCTACATATAAACATATATTTAATGTTTTTTTATATTTTGGCAAACAAATTACTTATACCTTTATCAAACACATATATATTATTGAAAACTAATTGTTTTAAATTTTTACTACAAATAAAATTATTTGCGCTTTTTATTAACCATATGTTTTTTGACGTTTGCTACACTTTGTTTTGATTGACATTTCTTCATTAAAAATCATGGTTGCCAAATATTTATAAAATATTACACACAGAAAAATGTTTGAAAATTCCCTTATTGCATGTCATATACAAAAAGTGCAAAAATATAAAAACCGGTATTTTATTATTGAAAAACCGGATTATTCGATATTCGAAAATGGTCAATTTTCAAATAACCGAGATCATCAATCTTAAAAACACGATAAAAACCGGTCGGGAAAAACCGGGTCGATCTCCCTAATATATAGGATTCATTCCAGTTATGTATTAATTTTTTTCTGTGTTAAAAAAATAAAAATTTATTAATTGATAAAGTACAAAAAGAAAGCAAATATTAAATATTTATAGTTGAATGGATATATTAGATATAGATAGAAAAACTCTGTTACCTACATTTGAGTCAGAATTTTTCAATATTTTTGTAAAAGTGAAACAATAACGAAATACGGAACAAATACAGAACATTTTCACGTTTTTTAGCAAAGAATAATTTATACATAACAGCGTTCTAAAATACAGTACTGTTCTGTATAATACAGAACGTCTGGTCACCGTATGTATACTTTACAAAAAAATATATTCATATAACAAATAATTAAAAAAATAAATTAGTAATAAAAAGAATTGTAAAATAATTTGAAAAAAAATTATTAAAAGTAGTACATACAACAAAGATTTAAATCCTTCCAAATAATAACTCAAAATACCAAAAGGTAGGAATTCCCTAAATCATGGAAGCTCATAAAAAAACGGCTAAAAAAACAATTTCCACCAAGTCAAGATACTGCGTGCCTGTCATAGAAATAAAAAATATTATAATAAATAACAACCTAGACTCTTAAACTATTAACATAATTATTTTTAGTAGGTTAAAAAACATCTTAGAAAATATAAGCTTTCAAAAAATGGTGTCTGGTAGACACCACGTCAGTTAAATAGTTAGGAAAAATCCACGTCTGTACCAGATGGTTAACATAACATCAACATTAACATCTGTTTCCAAAAATGTCTTTTAGAAAGTGATTTGTGATTTGTTGTTAACGTCAAAACCAACCAAAAAACAATTTGATATGTTAAAAATTCAGATGAGAAATATATTAAACTCTTATTTACTTTTTAAATACGATAATTTATTGAAAAGACTTTTTATAGTTTAAGAAATTGTAAAATGTCATGCAATGTGGCTTTTCTTGAAACGTTTTTTTAATTTTTCAGATAAATCAAATAGTTCATCATCCAACACAAGTTCATCATCAGTAAATGCTTCTGCAAATACATCATTATCAAATCAGAATTCTATTAATAACATAAAAGCTGGTTTACCTGCTACAGCTATTGTGAAGGATGAAAAGGATTTAGTAAAAAAAGAAGAAACTTCATTATCACCACCCAATATGTCTCCAGTAGGCTTTGGTTCAATGGTTGGAAATCAGATTAATGAATGCGGTGACAATCCGGGCTCCACTACCAGTAAGTGCTTCTAAAAGTCTGTAGATCATCTTGATAATACGTTTGAAAATATAATATTTTGGGTCCAAACGGAGCATCAAGATAATCTCTTAATTACAATAATATTATAACATGTATATGATCTATCGTATAAATATAACAGAAAGTCCTTAATTAAAAAAAATCAAATACTTATTTGATTGAATATACACACAATAGTTTTCATTTATAGTCATCACTGTTATAGTCATATTAGTAATACTGTCAATTTTATTAGATTTAAATGTCTCTGTCGATCAATTTCATATAAAAAGATTACTTTATAGTCCATTTTTGATATAAGCACGTGCTATTAAAAGTCATGTTATATGAAAAAAACTTCACGATATTGTCACACACGAAATTTTTCAAAGTCGAAAAAGCAAAAAACAAACAATTTTATCGTAAATTAACTAGTAACGATAAAATGAAGAAGTTTTTGTTGAAGCAGATTAAAGAAATTTGATATGCAGAAGATATTTTGCGACATTTTAGCTTAGAGCAAGATATAAATTCAATTTTTTTTATTTGAAAAAAAAAAAAATAAATAAAAAAATAGAAGAAACTACTGTAACCAACATCCTCAAGCTAAAACAGATTAAAATTATTGATTTTTTAAATACCACACCGTGCAACAGTAATTTTTACACATAAAAAAATCTACGTTTACAGGAAACTATGGACCATTTGTATTAACTCTGTGTACTCAGTTTTTAATAATCAGCTCTTATGCCTCTGTAAAAGGATCTTATAGTTTAAATGACATACGATTTCAATAGATGGAATTCCAAATTTATATAAAAAATTTGGTTTTAATATTAATATCAAATGAAGCGGACAATCTCTGCTGCAAATAATATTATTTATATCAATTCATCATAATTAAACAAGAAAAGGGACCTTAAAGAAAGTTTATCACAAAAATGAGACCTTTTTATACTATATATATATATATATATATATATATATATATATATATATATATATATATATATATATATATATATATATATATATATATATAGTGTATAAGTGTGTATTTCGTTTCGTATTTTTGAATGTCTGTTGGTTTTACTGCCTTGTGTATTATGTTTTTTGTGTGTTTATTTCGTTTAGCGTTTTTGTTTTGCTATTGCTATAATAATGATATACTCGGAAAAAAAATAAAATAAATTAAAATTTTATAAAATTTATACTTTTTAAATACACTACGATGAAGCGTATATAAGATTCGGCACAGTCGAATATAGCTCTCTTACTTGTTTAAATTTAAATAATTAATACCCAGCAAAAAAAGAACTCCCAAAGAAGCGAAAAAGAAGTAGATTTTACTCTATGGAAGTACTGAAAAAGACCTGCAGAAGTGATGATTTTAACACAGGCTTATCGTAGGAGGGATGTCCTTTTTATTTGAATCCAAATTCACTACTTCTGAAGTTATTCTCATGAAGTAATTTTTATGTTCTTTTTTGGAAGTTATTTGGAAGTAAAATTGTCGCATTATAGAATACAATTAATTCGACTTAAATAATATAGGGATATAGACACATTTAATACAAAAGCACAAAAATAAAATTTTTTAACTAATAAAATGGAAGAACACAATAATATATCTTCAGCATTGAAATAATATAAATATTTTCGCTTCTTCGGAAGTCATTAAACATCACTTCCACAGAAGGTAAACAAATCACTTAGTGCTACTTTAGAAGTGATAAATGTTTTTCTTTTGGAAGTACTTCGTTTTATTTTTGCTGGGTACAGATAGATGAAAAGTTCTATTTAGGGTTCCAATAGCTCTATATTTGAGAAGTGATAAGTGCGTGACGTGATGTGACAAAAATAGAGTTCCACCTGTTTATTTGGTTCAAAGCGTTTTTATTGCTATTTATATTGTTTTTCAACTTTTAGAACCAAAAAAATGTTTTTTTCTGAATTTTTGTACAAGCCGTTATGTGTGACGTGACATGATGCAATTAGCAATATTATGTAATAATAATCAGTCCGTTGATTGAAAGTCTATTGTCTATTGAATGTTTTAGAAATCGAACAAATATTTCGCTCCCTTATTTCGTTGAACAAATATTTCGTCCTGTGGTCCCCGTAGGAACCAATCCGATCATATTTACTAGTGACGCATCTCTGAGACAGTCCTAATGATGGAAAAGAGCTATACCAAGATAAAATAGTCTGTGCTCTTGTATGGCAGTCTCTGGCTGAAAGACCGAGCATGTGTCAGAAGATCCAGATTTTTGGAGAAAATTCCAGATCCGGTGCCTCTTTCTGTCCTTGAACCATCAGTGTAGATTGAGTTCACGTCATCCCTTAAGATAGTGTTCGCGGCCCAATCATCCCTTGTCGGTATTGTGGTTTTAAACGACCTATTAAAATTGATATACATGTTTGATATACATATGGGGAATTTCATGTCAAAAAATCGATTTTGACGAAATTTTCACTAAGGTTAGTACTATTGGATAATAGGTCAGACACAAATTTTCAGCTCTATCGGTCAAGAACTGCCGGGGTCAAAGTTGGACACTTTGGTCATAAAGGGTTTTATTCAAATGAGTGTAACTTTGCACCTATTAGTCATAGCAAAAGGAGTTCAGATAGCTATTTCATTTCATTCTTTCCAAAAAATATGTTTTTAATTTTTTTTAATTAAAAATTTTTTTTTTTTTTTTAATTAAAAAAAAAAAATTTAAATGGGCCTTTTTTTGCTTAAAAAAAGCTTATACAATTTCCTTGAAGGGCTTTATAGTCCCATAATGGGATGCGAATGGGATATTTGCAAGTTTAAGCGCCCAATGGAGGTGGTTTCCAAAGGAGTGCAGATATTTATTTTTTTTTTCATAATGGGTCTTTTTTTGTTTGAAAGAAGCTTATACAATTTTCTGAAAATTTGTGTCTGACGTACTATTCAATAGTATTAACTAATCTTGGTGCAAATTTCGTCAAAATCGATTTTTTGAGTTGGGTCACTTGACATGAAATTGCCCATATGTACATATTATAGACCGATTTTAACTATGTATTTTCATTATGGTTCGTCCTTTGTACAAGTAGCAAATTTAGTCGAAAGATGTTACTATAACCTTTTTTTAAATAAATTAACTTCATCACTTCATCGCTAATTTTTTAAAATTTATTTTAATTATACGCAATTCATAAACTGATATTCGAAACTTCTTAATTTTTGTGTTAATACTCCATAATTTTTCATCATTATCTTGTTATATATTGTTAAAAACATAAATGAAAGACAAAGTAAATTTTAATAATGAGATTAATAAAACAACTATAAATATTACTTTTTTCATTAAAAATTTAACAAATTGTCAAAATAGGGAATTTTTGTATCAATAATCGTAATTTTTTTGGCTAAATTTACAAAAAAAAAAAAAGGCGTAAAATCGTCATATCTAACACCCCTGCTTGACAGACTAAAAAAAATATATGTATCTCAAAATTTTCTTTTCAAAAAGTAGGTACACACACTTCTATTCTAAATTGGAACAATAGGCTATATAAATTCATGATTGTTCTTATGGTCACTTTTTTCTGTATAATTGTTATACAAAATTTTCATTCCAGACTTACAGAAAACTACTGAACCGATTTGGTATACCGATAGGTCTGACCTCAGGAGGAACTATAAACTATATAAGATCTGGATCGGACGCCACGCTCCTTTTTACGCCAACTTTTTGTAAAACCATTATTATACCAAATTTACGTCAAAGCATACAAAATGTAATAATCCGATTTTCATGAAATCTGTTATAATGAATGTTGTGGAATGAACAGTACGACACATTACATCTTCAAAACATATAATATATAATCATAAATATATATGAGATTCTTTTATTACTCTTTCACTACATAATTACTAAACTAAACTATATAATTATTAATAGGTCTAACCTTAGAAGTTAAAAATGACTATATGATATTGATTGGATGCTACCCACATTTTTATGTTCACTTTTAGAATAAAATCTATAACACCAAATTTCTAGGCTAAATATAAAAAAACATGATGTAGTTTACTACGCTATAGAAAAGCATATCAAAATTTTTTATCAAAGTTATATTGTTGTAGATCCGTATATATTACTCCCATCACTTACAGTGGTGGAAAAATTAATAGAAACGACTTTATATAGTGGTGAAAACTAAATTTTCTCAAAAAGTACCCGTTACAATTTGGTGATTTGTATCTTAAATAAAAGGTATTTTTCCTATGATAAATGGAGTTTGTAAGTTTTTTTACTCCATCGTATTTTATTGGTATTTAAAAATTTGGCATTGGAAAAAATAATCGAAACGATTCACAGTATTACACTGGGGACATAAGCTGAGATTAAGAAATCTCAGCTAACTGCGTTTTGTATTTAATTTTAAAAATTTGAAATTCCTCGGTTCTTTATGTTATGTATGTTTTTTTCACAACGCCCCTTTTTAACCACCAAGAACAGGTCGAATTGCAAAAAAAAAAAAACTAATTTTTTAGATAATTTAACCATTAGAAGACATTTCTTTCACTATCTGAAATTCTTATTTAAGAAAACTTGAAAGTCGGGCCTCTGATTCAGCTTTCAGGATCCATATGGTCAATCAAACTTCAAAAATCAAATGTTAACATAAAAATTAAAGTAAAAAGTATACTTTTATATTAAGAATTTCATTTATAATTAAAATTTTTAAAAATAAGTACTAAACGTAGTTTAAGAAATCTCAGCTTATGTCCCCAGTGTAATACTGTGAATCGTTTCTATTATTTTTTCCAATGCCAAATTTTTTAAATAGCAATAAAAAACGATAGAGCAAAAAAACTTACAAACTCCATTTATCATAGGAAAGTAGACCTAAATACCTTTTATTTAATATACAAATCATCAAATTATAACTGGCACCTTTTGAGAAAATTTAGTTTTCACAACAAAATAAAGTCGTTTCTATTATTTTTTCCACCA